GAGACAAGGATATCTCTAACACTAACCAAACAAGTGCTAGCAGTTGACATCCGAGTCGGATAACCGCCTGTATCACTTGGGATAAGTACAGGGGGTACCTCTTGAGTTAATAACCAACAAAAATTGGCGAATCCAGGGGATCAGCCAGCCTCCGCCGCCTGGTACCTCTACTACTCAAGCAAGAGAGTTGACGACTGGGTAATCTCAAAGATTACTCATAGTCACTCCCACATACTTAGTATGGAACCTAAAAGGTATAAAGAGTCCGCCTGTTTTTTAGCAAAAGGAACTCTCAAATCACTACTCCTACTAGGTGAACACCTATTGAGTAAATAACCAAGCAACACTTGGCGAATCAAGGGGATCAGCCGGCATCAGCTGCCTGGTACCTCTACTACTCAAGCATGAAAATGACGAATGGGTAATCTCAAAGATAGCTCATAGTCACTCTCTCATACTTAGTGTGGATCCAAAAAGCTATGATAAGTCCGCCTGGCTAAAGGCAAGCAAGGACTCTATTTCTACTTCAACGAACAGGCGGCCCGATTATAAGCGGCATGTTCCTTCTAACTTAGTCAAGTAAAACAGACCTAACGTGTTTCCTAAAATACATTGGGAAACCGACTGGTCGCCAATCTGGAGCCAAGACAATAAGTCGTCCGGGGGCATAGGCGGCCGGTACTTGATAAACTTTGCTTGCAAAATTCTAGGCAAAATTCTAAAATTGCAAAAATCTAAAAAACATACAAGCCGAAACAGTCGGTATGGCATTCAAGCAGACGTCAAGGACCCTCTATACTTGGCAAAAATGAGCATAAACAAGATTTTGTGATCAAAGGCAACCAAAACGTGGTTGCCAGATTCATATATAAAACAGCCGGCCATGAAGACCGACAAAATATTCATAACCCCGACCCCTTGGTCGGGTAAAGATACAAGGAAACAAACGGCACACAGGCCGGTGGAAAGTTGAAAAAAATAAAAGCTTTAAACATTGGGAGGGGCTTGGCTCTCAACTGCCGGCTGATCGAGCTCAACGACGGGCGCTTGATTCTTCATAGCATCCTCTTTTGTTGACTCGTCTTCAGGGGCAGGAGCTTTAGGCGCATCCACCTCCATTGGCTGTAGGGCCACTACCTCTTCTTCCTCCTCGGAGCTGGAGCCGGTCGCCTCCTCCTCTCGCTCGTCTTCCTCAGCCGCCTGCTGCATGATCCTTCTGTTGTACTCTTAAGTATAAGCGTTGAATTTGGAATCCCATGCGGCATAGCTAGCTTTAAGGAAGAGGGACGACCAGGTCATCTTCATAATATTGGCCGGGTCCTCCATCATGGCCTAGGCTAGAGCCAGCTTATCGGTCCCGACCTTCGCATTAAGATCTTTGGTGATGGCCGCCTCCTGCTCCTCCAGGCGTACCCTGACCGTCTCCAAAGACTTCTGCGGCCCTTTAACCTTATGGGCAATGTTTTTGAGTGCACGCAACTCGTCTCGAAGACTTTTGACCGTCTTCTCCAACTCTTCGTTCCGTTTTTAGGCCGCCTCCAACTCAGTTCTGATTGTTGAAGTGGCAAGCGCCTGATAATAAAGAATATCAGTTGTCAATATTTCATTTTGGGCAATTTGAAACATTGCCTTATCAATGTCAGAGGCGGCCATAGCTTTAGCAGCCTTTACCTCTTTGTTTTGGCACTAATTGGCTTACGAAGGCCGTGTACACGGAGCATGGTCTGAAAAAGAAGCACCAGGCGTCAGATTTGCAAAAACAGGCGGCAGGCAAAGTTATTCGAAATTACAAAAATGCTAAGTATACCTCGGAGAGGAGACCCATGATTCCGTCCAGGTCAAGGGTGCCGACTCCCTTCACTGCATCCCTCTCCTCTAGAGGGATGGCTTTTACCATGGACTTGGCCATTTGGACCAAATCAAGATATTGAGGGTCGCCTGAATTCAAAGACAAATTATTAGAACAAGAGAAAGAATCAAAGGAAGAAAAATTAAACAAGGGCTAAAGGAGCCGGTTATACCTCTTGGAGGCCGGCTGTCCCTGGGGACTTGTGTTTGTTTCCCCTCACTTTGGGGGGTGCGCGGCTGTTTTTTGGCAGAGCCAGGCGTACTCCCAGCCATCGTTTCCGAACCTTTGAGTCCGGTTGCTGGGAGGAAGAGGGTTTGGACGAGCCCGCCTGCAAAGGCACAGAAAGTTAATACAGGCTAAAAGAGAATTTCAAAGGAAAACTTGAAAGATCAAAACTCACTTTGGGCGTCTCCTTGGCAGGAGAATCAGATGATGGCCGCTTGAGGCTCATAATAGAGGTCCGAAGAAGGGCGGCCGCCTTCTTTGATGCAGAGATTTGATCCATAGCTTCGACTGAAAATAGGCGACAAAGAGTTGGTTAAACTTGAAAAAAAAAATCAAATGATACATGTACAGGCATAAGAGGCCAGCTACCTCTGGAGGTCCGACTGCTCAGGCCACAGGCGGCCAAAAAGTACTCATCATATAGCCACTGAAATTTGGGAACACAGTTTAAAGGCACCTGCTCCCGTACCCCAGTAGTAGAGTTTGCTCTTATCTCTACTTTGAAGAGTCCTCGGTCAAGGATCTCCTCCTTGGCTCGGCAAGGAACAGGCGACATACTACAGCCGCTTGCAAGAAGAGGCAGATCCCTGTTCCACCTGTTATACCGTTTGTTCAGGAGTTTATCAGGGCCGGAGACTAGGAGGAAAGTGTTTCTCCAATCCTTCCACTTGTTCTCTTTTCCCCTAGTCATCAGATAGCCTTTGTGGCTTATTATCTGGTACCAGCCGGTACCGCTTGCCTTGGGGGTTCGGCTTAAATAATTCATATGGGCGAACGCTTCAAAATTCGGCTCCACCCCATGCATTTCACATCCGGCTACATAGCCAAGGATGTTAAACCAGGAATTAGGGGCTAACTGCCACAGCCCCACCTCGTACCCATCGAGGATTTGTTGAACGGCCGGATGCAAGGGAAATCGAAGGCGGGCCAGACGACTGCATCTTCAGCATCCAGCACGAATAATTGAAAATCCGGACCCATCACATGGTCCGACAAGAAAGTCTCTATTCGTTCTTTCATGGCCTTGATTCAGCCCTTTGGGACATGACAATAGTAAGGGGTATTCAACTCCCTATGGGAGGAAGATGGCTCTGACCAGTCGACCCCTTTTTCGACTAAATGAGTTAGTCTCGCCTCATGTAGGCGAGAATGCCTTTCTTCTGAGCTAAGGGAAAGGGGCTTGAAGAGCTGGCTTCGGAAGGGGCCGATTGCTGACCACCTAAGTCAAATGTAAAATGGGAAGGGGCCACCTTGGCCCCCTCCTTAGAGCTCTCGGCGGCAGAACCACCTTGGGTAGCCTTAGCATCAGGCGCCCTATCTGACAACTCACTCACCGTCACATGGTAGGTAGAGCCGTCTGAGCTGGTGTACCTACCCGTCCTTAGTCCGGGCCATTGTGTTCTGCACAGACACAGAGAAAGTCGGGCTACGTATAAAGGGCGAAGAGTGGTCCAGAAAAGGGCAGGTGGCACTCCTAGTCCTAGATTCAGATTCAGTCGCCGTCCCTGCTGATCGACTGATCACTAACCTAGGTCGTGCCGAGTGCTTTTGAGGTACCATATTCCACAGAAAAAGAAAAGAAAACACAAGAGAACAGACGGTTACCTGAGTACTGAGAATTGTTGAAGAAGAAAAAGCGGTCGTCCAAAAAAACCAGTCGGCTTGTCAGAATCAGTCGGCAGGTCAAAAATTGTCTCAAGTGTCAGAGCTTAAGTTCAGCGGTCCGAGTGTTCTCTTTAAGAAAGTATACAAAGTGTGAACAAAGTGTCAAGGCCCTTATATAGGGTAAAATGAGAATACGAAGGGTCACTTCCAAGTTCAAAAATTGAGCGGGAAAAAACTCGCAGCCAATCGCAGGACGACATCTGTAACAGGCTGTCGCCTGTTACAGGCCGACACTTGTCACAGGTGACTTGTGACCAGTCACGTGCCACCTGTGAGGGGCTAATGATTAGGGGATTTTCCCCGCCCAATCAGTGTACGCCATGTGGATCAATCAAGTCCTGCCTAGTGTCCTCCATTTGGACCTCTCAGAGCCTTCCACGTGGCACACGGCTATTTGTCCACCATGGACCAGTCATGCCACGCCATGTGGCCCACTGATTGCCAACTTGGAAGGAGGCCACCTAGGCCCACTTCCCGAGAAAAGCCCGCTCAGATATAGGGTTTACCAAAAACCCTAGAATTAGGCACGCATCCCAAAGCTATAAATACAGTAATTAAACCTTCATTTAAGACTGATTCAGCAATAATTACTCTCACCTAGAGAAGCCTAAACACACTAATCACTCCTCTCCTTGAGGAACCAGATCACCCTTTACTTTCCGCACCTTTTTACTCCACATACAAATACTAACTTGATCGTCGGAAGCGGAGCTCTCACCAACCGGAGTTTCCGTTGTTTTGTAGGTACAGGCGCAAGGATCCCAGTCCCGGAATTGTAACTCTCCCGCAGGACATCAAAAAACCCCGAAACACAGAGTATGTTGCTTATCTTTTCCAAGATGTTATTGGCAAAGAAGGATTTCATATTGTTATTCAAATCATCACCGGTAATGCTACACACTTAAAAGCGGTGGATCTGAGTATAGAAGCCAAAATTACATTTTTTGAATCCTTGGGTCATGCATACTATGAACATAGCACTCAAAACATTGCGAACCAGCTCTCAGTTCAAGCCAATACGACGAATGTAAGTGGATCTCTTCCTTATGGTCAGATTGTGATGTCATTGGTACTTTTGTTTTGTATCATGGGAAAGCACTTAGGGGGCATTTGGTTCGCAAGGGGTAAAGGAAATGGAATCAAGAAAGGGATAAAGAGGGGAAGGACTAATCATCTAAGTCTAATACTCATACCCAAGTCTTATCATCCTAGATAGTGTGGCCATATGCTTTGCAGTTGCATATGCTTCAGGAAGAGGTAATGAAACAGAACACCGAATTGAATTATGAATATTTTAACGGATTATCAGATAAGAGGTAGAACTAATTATATTAAGGACTTACATCAACACTACAATATGTTTAAAATTGGCAGCAGAATCAGGGTGAAGCTATATTTTTCTCCAAAATATAAACATGGACATAAAAATGTGCTCAACATACCAGACAAACTGACAAAGGTTAATTTCCAGCAGTTGACTTTCGTTTTATAACCAAATCGTCAGCAGAGTAGTAATCTGCAATCAGCCTGTACATATACGATGGATTATGCCCTCCTCTGCAGAGGAAGCAAAATTAAGTTAGAAGTCTTAGCAATAATGTACTTTGCATGTAAGAGGGAATTTAATGAATAAAACACAACTACTGTAACAAATAAGACAAACAAATAATTTCATTCAAAAAATTCATCAAGACCAGCTGATAACAAGTAAAAAGTTGGAAGAAGCTCTATTCATTTACAATAAAAGGTGATTCTGTGATACATCTACGCCTTATCTGTTCCTCAATGGTGTATTGTACTATTGAAGTCTACCAAAAAATTTCGTCTGCAAAATTCAAAGATATCTTTCTACACAACACATGTTGAATCCATTATAGCAGTGATGATGATTTTAGACTAAGAAAATATTGTTTACTAAAATACTAAAAGGAAAAAAGATAACATCACAGAAATCACAAACAACAATGTTGGAACCACCCTCCCCACCCTTCCGCCACATCCACACACACACACACACACACACACACACACACACACACACACACACACAAAAAAAAATAAAAAAAAAAATAAAGAGAACCTTCCCAAGCAACTAGTAAATCCAGGGTGTGGACTTTAAATCCAGAGTATTGTCCCCAATCTAGAAAATTGACACTCAATCCTCTTCATCCTTTTCAGAGAAATCAATACCAACAGTACTTACATACCTCTAAGTTGGATTCAACCCAGATTGAGGAGCATACAAGCCTTACCCTTGCTAAACCGTACAACATGAAGAGTTGTATTCATTAGAAATCATCCTTTCCCAGAAATTGACCCTGCAAACTCCTCACTTTCACAGCATAGTTGTAACTTTTGTAATTAAAATAATTTATTTAAGATTACTGTTTTAGTAGTAACTAGTAAGTGACGCAGACTCGTTATAACTATATGTCAAGAGGCTCTTGATGAGTGGCATTTATGCCGTGATATAGGAAATATTTAAAGCATATTTTTCCCTTTTCTAGGCCATGGTTCACTCTACTCTTTTTCCTTTTTGTCTTTTTCAGATTTGGTTATATGTTAGCAAGTTACCCCTCATTATTTCCTTTAATGCCTTTTAGTTGTATCTCATTAACTTGTTTTCTCGGTATTTTGGTATTCTTTGTGTTGTGGAGAAGAAGCCAAGACAGAATAAAGGGCAAAATTTGACAACTTGACGAGGCACTCCAACAACAATTGAGCTGCTGCTCGGATAACAAAGAGCCCATACATAAAGCTTCAACCGGCATCCTAAGCAGCTCTCCAACCTACAATGGAGTGGGTAGTTGGAGTTGAAAGAGGCCAGTAAGCGGGTACTCAGGATACCCAAGTGGACATGAGCAAATCTTAGTTTACTTTTTAGAATCCTTTTCCTTGAAAACCCAAATTAAGTTTAAGCTCAACTAAGTGGGGCTTCAAAGTTCAACTGAGTGTGACCTCAAAGTTCAACTGAGTGAGCATTCAAAGAATTCAACTGACTGGGAGCTCAAAATTCAGGTGAGTGGACACTCAATGTTTAAGTGAGGGGCTCAGGAACTCAAACCATGGAATTCAACCCTTCAAGCTGTTTAAGCTGCTCTAAAGTTGTAATTTAAGGGAGTATAAATAAACCCGTACATCATTTAATTAGGACGGGTGATTAATTTTCAAAAATCTATTAATTAAAGAGAAGAAGAGAGTAATTTGCAGAGAATTGAAGATATCTTGAAAAATCTTGAAGATTTCTTAGAAAAACTTGGAAGATTTCTTCATCAATAAATCATCTTGGTAATAGTACATTCATTTATTCATTCTCATTTTATTGCTTTCCTTCATTAATAAAAAATCCAAAATCATGTGTAGTACATTCATTCATACCCATTCTTCTTCATTTTTTGTTTTCGGTTTTCTGTTATTTTGAAAGCAAAAAAAAAATAAAAAAAAATAAAAAAAAAATAAAAAAAATTAAGGAAACCAAAAAAAGCGATTTTGGACTTTTTTGTTTTCATTTTTCAAAACAATGATGATTCTAATAATTTGACTAATTGTATTCATCTATGAAATATATCATATGACTTTTCAAAATTAAAACTAAACAAAAAACCTAAAAACCACAGTACTGCCAAACGGACTCTAGCTTTTTTAATCTTGGTTTAATCTTAATTTAGTTTATTTAGTACTTTCTCCATTTTCCCAACGTTGCAACAATTACCTTATTACCATTAACATAAATATTGCAACATTCTCTTATTTGTCCATACTTCTCTCTCATCACATGGGTCTCTAATTCTATGTCTCTCTATCTCTCTCCTCATCTTAAAATCCGTGCAATACCCCCATGTTGCAATATTAGGGGAAAGGAGGAAGTACTTTTTAATTGATTTTATACTTCATTAGTAATAGATTAATCTATGGTGTGAAGGAGCCAACCAGCCCATCCGTACCAACCAAGCCACCTGAGATCTAAAGTATGCATGAAGGAAAAGGTAAGATGGGACCACTGAGATACAGCAGCAGGAGCCACAGCAAACAGAGCAGCAGCCACAACACATTGAAGGAGCCACACCACTTAGTGGAGCTGCCAGCTGAATTACTTTTGTCTGTTGGAAAAGAGGACAAATATATAAATATAAAAGAGAGAAGAGAATAGATAGAAGGCATTCGGTTATTTGTTATTTGATCTTAGCAATAGGAGATTGATAGCCTAAATCTATCGCTATTGGAGATTGGTAGGCTAAAGCTACCGCCTGTATCAAACGCTCTTTTTGATTTATGCCAAACAATCAACTTTCTCTCTTGCTTGAGTGTGTGACTTGAGTCCATTGCATATGGATGATGATTTAGTCTATTTGGCTCATAAATTCTCTTTTGTATCTAGCTATTAGGAGAAGAATTGCATCTATTAAGCTTGAAATGTGTTATGATAATAATTTCTAAACCTTTCTTGAATCATGCTATTGAAAACTGTTGGGGGTTTGGTTCACTTAGTTGGAATGGAATGATATGGAAATCCATACCAAGGAGGTATGGACTCGAAACCTCATACCATTCTAAAATTGTCTGGTTCAATTTTGGTAAGGATTCAATATCCATTGCTGATGTTTGGTTCACTCTAGCATTAGATCAGATTTAAGATTCAATAAATAAATTTGATTAAAAAATTAATATAATTTCACCTTCTTCCTTTGTTAATTACCCTCCATATGTAGACACCTCAACTTCCATGGCTCATTGGCGGAGAGACAAAATAGGAAGGGAGGCAAGCCGCTGAGCAGAGCCAAAGAAGAGAAAATTGAGCAGCAATGGCAGACCTTTATAACAACACATCAGCACACCAACGCAGCAACATTAGCTAGTTGGCTATGCCTGAGTTTAACGGAGACGACAAAAACCACAAATGAGAGGAGAAAAAGCAGATTCCAACAAGGCATATTGAAGATTGGCTATCACAAGTGATGCTACAACAAAAATGAAAAGCAAAGGAGAGAGAAAAACCTAGGTGAGAAGAGAGATGGAGGCAGCAAAGATTGTGGGGAGCTTTGGCTACTTGATGCTAGGATTTGATAGTTGCAAGCATTGGAGTAAGAAACTTAGAGGTAGGGTAGAGTGAAATTCTAGGGAGATAAGGAGGAATGAAAACCCCTTGGGTATGACATTCTACCTAATAATGCCTAACAAAACATTGTAATGGCATCACATCCATTCTGTACCATCAAAAAAGCCCCAACTAACAACCTCTTAATATGAGTTTGAATATAATGAATGAGTAGTGTCATAGTTAGGAGTTGGGTAAAGACCCAACCATGCATGCTAGTTGTTGATTATAGCATTTAGGGGGAGTAATTAATTGTTTAAGGTCCTTGGTATTGTTAATGGATTTGAATGTATTGATGGAGGCCTAATTAATGCATGTTTAGGTTTTTAAAATAGTTTATTTAAATTGTTTGGATGGGTAGAGACGTAAAGTGTGTGTGAAATTGATTTAATTGTTAGGATGGGTTATCAAATTATTGGGGGGGGGGGGGGTGGAAGCTGTAGTAAAGAGACAGATTCAAGTTTTATGTGTACCTAGAATCAGGAGAAAAACCACTAAATTGTACTAGGACTTTCAAAAATGTATAAGGTGTGACACTATGACTTGCAAGGCATTCTCAATGTTCATAGATAGTCATTATTTTGGCTCTCTATAGTTATCCTTACTTTTACAACAATAACATGTGACATTCGTGTATCATGAACTACACTCGTTTGCCATATAATTCCCCTTCTTCTCAACAAAGTGGCACACAGTACATGATCCACACGATCCCTGAAAATGTCACTTCACAACTTCACATGATCACGCATGACATGCTTCATTAATCATGCCTTCTCTAACTACGCTTGTTCATAACATCTCCACAACCCAACAAACTCCACCAAGAGATCGTTAAAATGGAAAATCATCCATCATTGAAAACACATCACCATCATCAAACATCCTCCGAACACATAAACATCTTCCAAACCCTAAGGAAGAGATGACTTATCACCATCACCACATAGTCATGGACCTAAGCATTCATCCTAAATCATGTTCTCAATATTCCCTCGTGTACACAACACCCATTCATGGACTCAATATTTCCTTGTGTACACAACATCATGTAGATGACTATACGGTCTTCACCCTCGTCAAATTTCTAAATCATGTTCGCCTCGCATTACCCTATGGTTCTCCTCCATCAGCCAACAAAATTTCAATGACACCTTTGAGAAAACTCATAAGTTAACGTCTTTTCCATTCAGAGTATATAATCTACTAAGGTCCTTCAACCTTTGCTTCTAGTTTCTTCATCAACTTAGCATTATTGCCTAGTATGCCAATATCATTACCCATGCAATAGGTCAAGGCCCATGATAAAGGAGAGATGATCTTCATAAAAGGTTATAAGAGGTTCCATCCTAAAACCATATGACAAATCGAGCAAATGTCGACAAACATATATGCTTGTTACCTTCTTAACACTCTTCCAATTTAGGACTATTTTTCTTTACCAATTTGAAATTTCCAACAATCTCTCCCATCACATGTTTCCGCTCACGTGGAACCAATTTCGCCGCACCATGCCCATTAAGACAATCATCAAGCAACTAGTATGTTTCCGCTCATGCTTACAGGAAACAAGACTTGCAAACAATATGGTTCCACTTCTCTACCACATTCATTGTAGAAATTTGATGTTGAAAATTACATCAAATCCATAAAGTGGTGGAAATTTGGTGTTTGGCAGCCACAATAATAAAGGCAAAAATGAGTATGCAAAATCACGTTCTCTCTCATCCAATCATCTAATAGTGTTATCTTTTTATCTTTAGGGAGGCAACAAGTCATGTGAGATTTAAAAAATTGAAATTAAATAAAAGTGAAAAACAAATGCCACATCAACTGTAACAAAGGCAATAAGTCTTTCTTTTGGAAAGGGCACACTTAGGCACGGAACCTACGTGGGTGAGTGAATCACAGTCTTGGAAGACACTTTTTAAAACTAAGTACACAAGAGATGAATCATAATCCCCATGATTTTTAACATTGAAAGAAAATCAACCTCTCTTACATGACCCCATGCTAATTGTTATCTTTTAAAAGGATGTTTGGGTAGGGGGGGGGGGGAAGAGGGGATAAGAAAAGAATTGCCAATTAAAAAGGAATTACATAAACACATCCTGATAAAATGAATGCAATGTGCAAAGCATCAACCCATTTGCATAGTATAATATTTAGCCTATTAAACAGAAAATAATAAGCCTAAAAGAACTTACGTGTCCGTAATAAAGAGGCTAACGAGATTTGGTGGCACATAATCAAATGCAGGGTTGACAACATGCAATAGTGGTTCACCGGTGCCACATCCAATATCTAAACAATCTGAGAACTCTCCAAAATCCAGCAAATCAGACGGAGATTTCAGCTCGTTGAGTAAGACCTCAGGATTGTGAGGATATAAGGGGCATAACTGTCACAAGTCAAGCATAAAAAAACTCATTTGCTATATGAATCATGCGAATCATCTTTAAGAAAGAGAGCAAAAAAATCAAGAGCACAAAAATCCATAGCAGAATGTAAATCGTCTTTTTTTCAATTTTTTTTTTATTATCTTCGAAAGTAAACATGTGGATTTGTGAGAGATTTCAAACCACATGGTAAAACGTGATAATTAAGTCAGAGTACAAGGCACTAAAATGGAATTACAAAACTACCAAGCACAAAAAAAAAAAAAAAAAAAAAAAAAAAAAAAAAAAAGGAAAGAGAGAGAAAAAGGTAAAGTGGAATTAGTGAAATAACATAGCATCAAATTAACGGGGCACCAAAGTGGAATTAGTAAAATAATAGAACAACAAAATCACGGGCACCAAAGTGGAACTAGTGAAATGACAGGGCACAAAAGTGAAAATTTTCCAATCGAAAAACCGATACCAAATAATAAGGCTCTTGTTTATGTTTAGATTTTTCCTTAACTAAATTTAATCAATCAAATAGAAAGTCATAGAACATCTACAATATAAATCTAAGAAATACATATGAATTATCATATTTGATTAAATAGAACCTTTTTTAGTAAAATTGTGATTATTGTCTATTATGTACTATGTAAGAAACTAACAATTATTATATGATCTTTCACATCATGCGATGTAAAACTATTGTGTTGTTGAAGTTGATTTTGCTTTTAATTTTAGACAAAGATCCAACATTTGACTTGCAACCGCATAATTTCCCATCACAAATCGATTATTAGTAGACCAGTAAATATAAACTGATCAACAATAACTCCATAGGGGAGATTCAATAACAGAAACAACGCAAAGTACCCTCATAACATGTAAAGCTAAAACACATAATCTGAATTGATCAAAGAATTAGGGTCGATATATATTCAACCTAAAAAGAAAGAATGAAGAGAGACACTCAAACCATATATTCAATTTTCTATGTCTTATAAGCCATTCTTTATTTTCAGCTTCAAGAAATTGTTTCAATTCCAATGATAAGGTATTCATAGTTTAATATGGAAAATTCTTAACTCCATTCTCCAAAGGGCATGTGTGTGTAAAATCTATACAATAGCAAGCTGTAAATAAAATCAAGTGATATTTGATAGTAAGAACATGTGATTGTTAAAAAAAAATGTATACTTAATCGATATTCAACATTTTGCATAGTCCATGCATTATTAATTAAGTTGGTTATCAATTTCATGCAAACTTTCATTCGTCTCCTTGTGCCTCATAAATCACACGTCAAAGGTACACTCAAACTTTGAGTAAGGAGACCAACTCTAACCAATGTTGAATTCAGACAATAAGGAGTGCACCTCCTCTCCAAATGCATAGCTTACGGCACACACGTCAGCATGAAAGCTCTATTTGAAATAAGTGGAAAATGAAACAATAAGAGGTTATAACAAGTGGATTTCATAGATCCTCAATTTTTTTCTTTCTTTTCACTTCGTCCCAAACTCAGTTCACCAGGTTTTAAAAAGGTGACATTTTTCTCTAGTTAACCATCGCCCTCCCTCCAAAAAATGGTTAAAACAAAGATTAGATTTAAAGAAATGATAACAAAACCCAAGGTTTTCTTTACCCCTCAACCAAACACACATTTCTGGATGGGGATAACTTAGCATGGCGGTAAATCATTGTTATCTATACCAAAAAATCTCTCAAGCCTTCTTTGTAAGCTTATTTTCATGTGGATATCTACTACGGCATAGAAAACTCTCGTATCTCACTATTACAGCCTTGCCAAGAATATATAATGGTTTTACCAATATTAAATGGCACAACATTATGAGAAGAGAATTAATTTGGCTATAAAAGTCTTTAATTTCAGATTGAATTACTTCAGCACAGGCTGAATGCTGAACACAACAACCAAGCTCCTGTAATCTTGCCTTAATCAGCAACTTCATGTTTCTTAAGAGCAGGCACATGACCAAGATGATATAAGAACATCACGAAGCACGAACAAAAAGATTTTTCTATATGTTCATAATCATATAGTCTTGTATTGATTTGAGATATATACATATATATATACTAGTCTAACAAAAAAATTAGGTTAAAAAGAGACAGGTAACAAATTTTAAAGAAATGCCCAGTGGGGTGGCCTGTTTGTTTTTTTAAAGCCGGAATTTAAAAATCTTACTCTTAGTTCAGTGGAAAAGCAAATTAAATTAAACAACCCAAGGATTTACAAGCCTTTAGCTGAATATGAATTCTTTTCATTACGACATGAATACATATAGGGGATTCAGAGCCAATTACCTTGTGACTTCCAGCAACTACCACAAATGGGACAGCATGCCTTTGAGCAGCAAGAGCAACCATATTCAAGCCAACAGGGGCTATCACTCCACCATTAGCCATGATGGCATGAGCTCCAACAATGACCTTAAAACAGGAAGCTTGAATATCTGAATTTTCCCAGGCTCAAGAAAAACATTAACATATTGAACAAATAACCGAAATTATACCATATTCACACGAGATATCATGGCAAAAACAGCAGAGTCAGTGATTACAGTGGTCTGCAGATCTCTAGCCATTAATTCTTTGGCAAGAACATGCCCTTGGTACCTAGCTCCAACATGGACACATAAGATTAAGGCAATAGTTATGAAGACACAAGACATCCATCAAGGCAATATAGCCTTCTACCAAATCCCAACGTGATCAACTGTTGCTATTGTATGCAAAATAGAGCGGTAGATAAGCAGAGTTCCATATTAACAGAGTTCCATGCATTAAATTATTGTTTTTTCAAGATAATTTTATATAAGCTGAAAGAAAAATTGTTTTCCCCATCCTTTTCATCGGATGAATTTTCAGGAGGTTGAGAGATCCTTCGAGTTTTTAAGAGAAATCACCAACACCGTTAAGGAGGAAAAGAATAAAAGAAGGAAGCTGAACATAAGACTATTTGTCAAATTTCCGAAAATGAAGATACAAAATAGTAAGTCACTGCAGATCAAAGTACTCCTTTTTACAAAAAAAATTCCTAGTTTTATTATCATGATTATGAAAAAAAAAAAAAAAAAAAAAAGCAAAACAGATTTGCATTTGTATGCAACAAGAATGATTGATAATGGTACCCTCAAACATCTTATAGTATACACTTTATTAAGAAAAAATAAGACTTGGGAGTACCTTGGAGCGCCTTCTGCCACAAATACCCGAAACGATCGTTTTTTCTCCTTTGCTGCACAGAGAAATTCCATCACTGTTCTTGAGCGGCCCAAAGTCAATATCACCTCACTGCAATGAGAATTGTCATGGATTTCATGGTGGAAAGAGCCGATAGTAGTTGGCAATTTGGCATGTTTTGGCATTTAACTGGTTTAACACTATTCATTAACTCTATTTTAACTACCTTGTTTGATTCGTAGATTTAAAAAATAAATAAATAAGTCATCTGGGATCTTGTTTGATTCCTCTCGAAGTGTATATTCAAAATATCAACTTTATATAACTTTCACATATTGATAAATTAGTTATATTTACAATGGAATTTAAGCATCGGTAAATGTGATAAAAGAAATCAGTAATTAATTTGGAGCGGAGGAAATATGAAAACTAGTTTAGGACCTATGCAAAAATGTTATTAAATTTAATTATTATTACTACAGAAATAATAAAAAACAATACTCCGTATAATTTGTTTAATGGAGTAAAATCCATGACAATTCTCATTATATATGAATACTCGTTAACTAAATAAAATTCCACTAACAATAAAAGCTTTACTTTAAAGTTTAAAGCATATTATCAAATTATATTTGTTTGCCTCAATATACATAGTTGTCATTGGAAATAAAATCTCAAATTTTAGTTGGTAAATAAATGATATTCCATAAGTTTAAAGTATTTTTTAATGGGCTTAATTTTCGTACCCCTATTTCCTAATTCCTGCATCCGCCACTGGGACATATGAAGTAGTATATATTTTAAATTAAATTGAATAAATCTATATAGTATGTATGAATATTAAGTTTTAAAAAATACGAAACAGAATTGAAGTAGATAGTATACTTCAATGGACAAACAAAAAATAGGCTAAATTACAAGTTATGTATCGTATAATGAATCATATTCTTAGCTATATTGGGATATTTTTAAAAATAAATTGAATAAAATATCTATTTATGTCAAAGTAATTATCTTTTACAAATATAACTAGAAATGTACTTGTATATTTTATATGAAAAATAACCATAATTTAGATGACATTTTTTCTACATTTAAGTGACTTCTTTTTAATTCTTCTAAATTCTATAATTAAGGTTGTTTATATCTAAGTGAACTAACGGTTTACTTTTTTTTGTTATAGACTATGATTGTAATCTATATGATATTATCCTAATGCAAGTGATTGCTTTTTTATTTATTCTAAAAATATTTTATTAGCTATAATAAAAGTTCTTTACATCTAACTAATCTAAAGTTTATTTTTTGCTATTATTATAGATTGTAATTGTTATCTAGTCGATATTTTCCTAATACAAGTGATAGCTTTCTTTTTTTTTCCCCTAAAATCCAAGATTTGGGCAATAATTGAAGTTGGTTTCATGTAAGTCAACTAAAGTTTCATTTTATTATAATAATTATGATAGAATGTAATCATAATATATATGATATTTTCCTAATGTAAGAGATTGTTTCATTTATTCAATTAAATATAAGAATTGGACAATAACTGATCTTCCATAATTAAAGTTATTTATACATGTCCTTTATGTGTAACTCAGCTAGAGATTTTTGTTTAATTATCATAGGCTTTAATCATAATCTAAATGATATTTTCCTAATGCAATAATCCAAGATTTGGGAAATAATTGATTTCATATAATTAAGGTAGTTTTTTTTTATTTTAGAAACATATAATCAAGGTAGTTTATTATTATATATTGTAATCAAATTCTAGATGATATTATTCTAATGCAATTGATTGCTTATTTATTCTTGTAAAAAGCCAAAATATGTCATTTGTCAACTAAAGATTTTTTTATTATTATTACAGTAGATTGTGATCATAATTTAGATGATATTTTCCAAATGCAAGTGATTGCTATTTTATCTTTCTAAAAATCCAATATTTGAGCAATAACTAAATTCATATAATTAAGGTGTTTGTACATGCAGAAAATAACATGTATGTCAATTAAAGATTTTTTTTTTGTAAAATTACTATAGACTGTAATCATAATCTAGATGATATTTTCCTAATACAATTGATTGGTATTTTATTCTTCTAAAAATCCAAGATTTGGGCAATAATTTATATTAAGGTTGTTTATTATTACAGACTGTAATCATAATGTAGATGATAATTTCCTAATGCAATTGGTTGCTTAATTATTTTTCTAAAAATCCAAAATTTATTCATATAATTAAGGTTGTCCATATATGTCATTTGATTGTAACATGTGTTAACTAAAGGTTTTTTATTATTATTACAATAGATTTTGATCATAATTTAGATGATATTTTCCTAATGCAAGTGATTGCTGTTTAATCTTTCTAAAAATCCAAGATTTGAGCAATAAATAAATTCATATAATTAAGGTTATTTGTATATGTCAAAAAGAACATATATGTCAACTAAAGATTTATTTTTTTTAATTACTATGGACTGTAATCATAATCTAGATGACATTTTCCTAATATAATTGATTGGTATTCTATTCTTCTAAAACTCCAAGATTTGGCAACAATTGATTTCATCTAATTAAGGTTGTTTATTATTATAGACTATAATCATAATCTAGATGATATTTTCCTAATGTAATTGGTTGCTTATTTATTCTTCTAAAAATCCAAAATTTATTCATATAATTAAGGTTGTCTATATATGACATTTAAATGTAATATATGTCAACTAAAGATTTTTTATTATTATTACAATAGATTGTGATCATAATTTAGATGATATTTTCCAAATGCAAGTGATTGCTATTTTATCTTCTTAAAAATCTAAGATTTGAGCAATAACTAAATTCATATAATTAAGGTGTTTGTATATGCAGAAAATAACATGTACGTCAATTAAAGATTTTTTTTTTTAATTACTATAGACTATAATCATAATCTAGATGATATTTTCCTAATACAATTGATTGGTATTTTACTGTTCTAAAAATCCAAGATTTGGGCAATAATTTATAATTAAGGTTGTTTATTATTACAGACTGTAATCATAATGTAGATGATATTTTCTTAATGCAATTGTTTGCTTATTTATTCTTTTAAAAATCCAAAATTTATTCATTTGATTAAGGTTGTCTATATATGTCATTTGAATGTAATATATGTCAACTAAAGATTTTTTATTATTATTACAATAGATTGTGATCATAATTTAGATGATATTTTCCTAATGCAAGTGATTGCTATTTTATCTTTCTAAAAATCCAAGATTTTGCAAAAGTTGATTTCATATAATTAAGGTTGTTTATTTATTTCACATCAAAGATATATATTTTTTATTATTATTATAGACACTAATCATATATAGATAATATTTTCCTAATACAAGTGATTGTTTTTTTTATTTTTTCCAAATCCAAGATTTAGGCAATTATTATTGATTTGCTATAATTAAGGTTGTTTACATCTAAGGTAACTAAAATTATTGTTATTTTTATTATTAAAATACAAGACTTAGGAAACAATTGATTTCATATAATTATGGTTATGTACATCTAAGCCAACCAAAGATATTTTATTTTATTAAGAGCTATGATCATAATCAAGATAATGTTTTTCCTAACATATATAATTGATTTTTATCTTTCTATAGTCCTAGTTTTTTTGGCAATAATTGATTTCCTATAGTTAAAATTAATTATAACTAAGTCAACTAAACGCTTTTGTTTTTATTTTTATTTTTATGGACTATTCTCATAATCTAGATGATATTTTTCCTAACGTAGATGATTGCTTTTTTATTCTTTCTAGAGGTACGGTATAAGCAATTTGTAATGGTTAAGGTTGTTTATATTAGTCCACTAGATAATTAATTAAAAATACAAAATCACTAAGGACACTCTAGAAAATGACATGAGTCCTTACTAGTGTCTTTTAGTATATACGAAGTAGTTACTAAATTAGGTCTCGAATCATGCACGACAATTTTCTTTATCTATTACTAATATAACACTATTTAACACAAATCCTTTTACATAATTTTTAATTACATAACATGTCTTTCTTGTTTGACTTTTCTCTTTGTTAAATAATTTTTACTATACAGTATTTTATTTTTGTTGTATACTTCATCTGTTTCCAAAAAATTGCAAAGAGGGCAGAGATAGAGTGAACTAAAGATAAGAACCCATATGATGAGAACACAGAAAGAGATAAAACATGTGCATTTAGGGAAACGTTGCAATATTTGTGAAAACTCCTAAAATGGTAATTGTCGCAATATTTGTGGAATGGAGGAAGTATTAAGATTATACTTTATATCTGACAAATATTCTTTATTTTCTAACAATCCTTTTACAAGTATACTCTGATTGCATATAACTTTATTTTATATTCAACCTTTTATTAAGTAATTCAAATTGAATAACTTTGTATTATATTTGGAAATTTTATTATTAAACAATCCTTCAGTATTTTTTATTTAATAATTATATTTAATTTCACTTTTCAGAAAATGAATAATGAATAAGCAAAAAGAATGACAAGAAAAAACACACCAAGAAGGAAATAATCAACGTGTTTCGTACCTAGCAAACCTTATAGTACGTATAGTAGTAGATAACTAATTGATTTTAATAATAATATTAAATTAATCAAGCAATTACGTGTCACTAATTTGATATTTGCATTGCTTTGTTGTAGCTTTCTGTAGTATTTAGTGCAGTATGTAGTATAATGATATGTGAATGTAGCAACAGCCAAGAACAAGAGAGCCCAAAAAATGATGGTCAAAGAGGTGACATTAATAAATGTCTAACAAGTAAATGTCAACAGTAAGAAAAGATTAAAATTAGAAATTAAAACATACTTTTGATGAATGTGCTCCACCGCTTGCTCAGCAATGTGTTCATGGCAAGTAGCAATATCCTGAATAAGTTCATTAACTGCTTCAATAACATCATGTTTTAGTTTTCGGCTCCTTGAGTTCTTATCAGCAGCTGCAGTCAGTTAAGTCACTAAATTATCTTGACATAGCAAATTAACAAGTCTAAATCTTATAACAAAAGCACGATCTTCCAACACAGTTCTAAGAATTCTGAATATTAAGATCAAGGCAAGATGGAACATGACCAGTTTTAGAGAGTAAGATTTATACAAGCCCTCTTATAAGATGGCTTTCAATTCCATTGCTATATCCCAAATTTGTCTGTAATTTCTACCGAGTATTCTATTATAACAGGATTTCATATAATTATGAATATTTAGAATAATTTCAACTATAAATTACCCCACATTCTCTCTATTCTTGGCTAACCATTATCCTAACAATTTTTTTTTTTTTTTTTTTTTTTTTTTTTTGAGAAAAATCCTACCAAAATATAGTTTAGAGGAATTAGCTCCAATTCCCGGACTGACTCCTTCAGCACTTCAAACTTCATATCTTATAACCAACAGCATGAACATCAACCTCAACTTACCCCAATACCTCTAAGAGGCTCCCACCCTAGGCAGGGCAAGTAGGTTGGATGTAAATAGATTCACCCTGTAATAACTTTCACATAATAGTTAGAAAAGACCGTCGAATAGTTAGAAAAGTCATTAGAAATGGAGAAAATGGAGGGACAGCAAAGTGTATATATGTTGTTCTCGAAGATTGGGAGATGAATATGAGATACAGCGAGAAAGAAAGGGGCACATGAGAGACAAAAAATGAACCAGGACAGTTTTAGCCTATGGGAGGTAAGACAAGGATTAGAAGTCCACTTAAGTTGCAGTCATGCAGATATCCAAATTTCCTTTCACAGGCATAGATATACTTCAATAAAAGACAATAACTACTACACGGTTATCCAGTAAAAACACTTCATCCACAAATATAGGACAGTACATACATTGACCCAAATCAAGGAACCATAAATCCATCCTTGAAGTCAAGTGAAGCATATATATTTTGCATCATACTCAAACCCAATCTGGTGCTACCAGTGGGAGACAGGAAAAGAAAATTTTGGCCAAGTATTCAGTAAACGATTAGGAGTGAGAAACATTTGAATCCATTCAGCACAACGAGTGCAAGAGAGCTTAAACAGTTGCACAACTGCGTGACACTCTTGTGCCCATTTTAACTAGAGTAGGCAGCTAAGCTAATGAACTCAGGTGCGAAGAAGAGTGCATTGAAGCCCTATCAGACATTATGTCTTAAACTCTTAATACACAGCACTTCTGGATCATTAAGGATAACAATCCCCACAGAAGAGTTATCACCATTTCACCACAGAAACGCAGCTACTATAACAATAATCCTGCAAAATCCTAAAACAGAAACAGAACAGCTAAGGGCTCGTTTGGTACACAGTCCGTTTTCAAGTTTTGGTTTCATGATTTGAGATTCAAATGGTTAAATCTGAATCATGAAGTTGATGCTAGTCATACCTTTAAGAATCTTTGATTGTTAAACTGACAACAAAATGCTGGAAATTGCCTTTTGTGGGTTCCATGATTTTGCTTTAAGTTTTCTTATTAAATAGAAAACTGGAAACAAAGAATGATAACGGATGGGCCCTAAGGTCAGTCTTGAAAAAAATTTACGCAAGAAAAAGGGTAGTACAACAAGAATAGGACCTTGCTCACGTGTAGATACTAAGACAGCTAGCCTCATGTTTTGAGCTATTGCGAGCAAGCAAAAACAAAAAAAAACGAGCACACAGTTAGTAACCAGCAAAGTACAAAAGCAGGTCTTTAATCATTATATCCGGGAAAGATTTGAATAATAATCGACTTGTAGATGATCAACAATATAGATAGTAGGCTCTTAAGGACTGCAATTATGAAATTAGAGGGACAAGTGGTGCTTAGAATTGTAATTAAACTCTAATTGCCCACAATAGAGGTAAATGGTCAGTCCAAAATTCGACAGACATGAAAAATACAAATTCTATAATTCTAAATTGTACTGGACTTTGAAAGATCTTTTGCAGAGAAAAGAAGGCAACTGTCTCCAATGGAAAGCTTAGAGAGGGGGAAACGGGTCTGGAGCAGCTTACAGCCACCACCAGATTATAAAGAATTTCTTTTAGCATATCTGCAGACTGGGAGCCTTGTATATGAAAGTTCTTCTACTGTCAATTTTTTTGAAAAAAAAAAAATATTCTAATTCTCATAAAGTAGCACCAATCTTATGAGTTAAACTCAGACTTATATTACAGACACTGAGAGACACACATTTAGGAAGAGCTTATTGCAAAGAAATCTCATGTCTGTGTATCTAGGCTGAACTAATACTTCCCTGACAGGGCTAAGCCTGCTTAGTTAGATTTTTTTTCATGACAAACATAAATGAGACACAGTTGTCACAGTAGGCTTAAATATACAAACAGTAAACTTACATTTGCTTCTCCCTTCAGAATCACCCCCAGATGAAGAAGTATGAGGAACAGCAGTAGCATCAGGTACATCCTCAAGAAGAGTCTGTAATGATGGTGGGCGCAAAGTGCTCCTTGCTGCAGCAGCTACAGCGGCAGCTGACAGGACAGGATGATCATCTTTGTCATCATCTTCATCATCATCATCACTTCCAACTGAAATGTTCAGGTCACCTATAGCCGCAGTAGTGAGAGATAAGTCCTCCTCCCTGATAATGTGCAGCACCCTCCTGATAATATTACCAACAGCAAGCTCTGCATTTCAACTCCAACAAAAGTCATTAAAGGTTCCTAGACAATCTATCACAAATAGGCATTACGTCCTGGAAATAAATTGCAAAGAGGTGATGGAGATGCAAAAAGCCACCTCCAGTCTATGGTTCGAAAATGCGGTTTCGGGCACAGTTTAGGTCGCAATCGTGATAACGGTAACATGTCGCGGTAACGGAATTGATGCGGTTATCGCGAATGTAGAGACCGAATTTTAGTTTAATAATTTTATATGTTTTATCAATATTACAACTCATAAATATTAAAAAATTTAATTTTTATCATTTTCTAATAATTAAAATTAGTATTTATTTAATTATTTTCAATTATTAATTCAATTCCTCTAAAATAAATTGTCTTCTACTTTAACCATTGGGTAACACATAAATAGAGAGTAGAAAGAAAACAACTTGTTAAGTTATTGGAGTAGTCAAAAGGTCAAAAGCAAAAAGTAATGGTAAATGTCACTTGTCCAATACCCACTTCCTAACCCTCACCTGTCTGACAGCTCACTTCACACCCCACTCAAATATCACAGCACCCCTCTCTCTCTCTCCTCTTCCTGCCTTTCTCTCTCCTCTTTCTCTTTCCTTTTCTCTCTGTTTTTCAATGGAGTCGAAGAAAAAATCGCGAATTTATGCGATTTCTCGGACGATTCATAAATATATCAGTGTACCGGCCGATTCGGTCCATAAATGAGGTGTATTATAATAACCCGCATCAAATCGCTAAATCTCGGTTCGGTAAAATTGAAAACCGCTACAACTCGCCCGATACATTATGATATGGCCGCATTTTTTAACCCTGCTCCAGACACTCAATTGAAAATACTGACACTTTCAAGTTTTTTTCCAATTATTCTTTGATTAAGCCAATGAAATTGTGATGTTTTATTATGACAATCCTAATGATATGTGGTTTGTTTTATACCCCCTTCGTCCCTAGATAAAAGCTCACCTCTATTTGGGCACAAGAGTTTAGGAGATGGATTGTAGTGGGGTAAAAATGATTAAAGTTTAACAAAAAACAGAAAATACTGAGAAAAGTATATAGTTATTTAGGGAAATGGAGGTAAAAGGGGTTTTGTTAATCAAAATTGAAAAAAAGCTAATAGGAGATGGACCCCACCCAGATGAGAAATGGAGCTCTTATTTAGGGACAAGAATTTCGGGGTTTACCAATTACCCCACACACGCACGCACGCACGCAAGCGCCCACGCCGCGCGCACACACACACAAAATAAAACAGAAAAAAAGAAGAGAATTTAGGGGTACGACCGTAATAGGGCTTTTATTTCACAGCAAAGGAAGAAATATAATTTATACACGAATAGAGAAACATGAACTAAGAATGCATATCTAGGTCAGCCTTTATGTCCCATCTTAAGCCTAATCTCCAAGATCCTTACTGAACTATTGTGACTCAAGTCTTTCAAAACACTGTAAAAACAATATATTACACGATTACATGCTAAAGTTGCAGATGAAGATGCAAGGCGAGCCAAGGTCAGAAGTCAAAGAATGTAACCAATGCCAACAAATGATCCTTTCATGCTTATTGCTTCAACCTCTCCTTTTAATGACACTAGTACAAAATGGGTTCTAGGAATTGCCTCTTCTTGAAGAGGTGACGCACTCACAGATAAACAACAACTTAGACTCACTAGCCAATTATAATAAGGAAAGTTCTATTGTAGTCATATATGTCACCTACCGTTGAGAGTGTGATGCATAAAATGATAACCATCACTTTTGGTTCATGTAGCCGACCCCACTTATGGGATTAAGGCTTTGATTGATTGATGGATTGATTGACTAGGGGTGATAACGAGACCAGCTGTTTACAAAATATTCGAGCACAGCTAGGCCAAAGATTGACTCGAGTTTGCATTCGGCTCAAGACCTTAATGAGCCAAGCCAAACAAACCCAAGCTGAGTTGGTGAACAGGCTCGCTGATTTTTTAATTATTGAAAACATATTTATATACATAATTTAAATTTTTTTATTTGTACTTTAAAAGAACTTTAACATACGGAGAATTCATCTTAACTATCCATATTCTACCCAAATCTAATTCCTATATGAACAACTTCAGGCTGACAATATATCATCCTCATACCCACTTTGTAAGCACACCTCTCTAGACATGATTCCCTTTGGCATCCCATGAAAACCATAAATAGATCAAGTTCATACCAATATTAGCTATTTGGGTCACAAAACTTACAGAAAATAGATAAATTCACCACTCTTCAAAACCATTGGCTTACTCAAACAAACTCATGCAACTACCATTAAACCAACCCACATCTTATAAAAAGGTTATTCACTACTCTCCATAAATTAAGTCAAATTCATAGATAACTTGTTTTTCAGCAATAAATATCAATGGCGATGAAAGAAGCCCCAATTATAATCAAGATGTATAGGAGCATCTCATATTACCAACTAACATCAGTGACTCGAATTATAAGCTATGAAATACAACATGAAAATCAAAACTTTAGATAAATTCATCAATACATGTCTGCTTGAAAATCGAAGACAAATCAAGGGTTCTTCAATCCACCATCCTTAAGGCTTGTCCTGCATTAATCAGTGATAGTAGGTACTAGGGAATAAGAGCTATAAATAACTCTGACTTTACACTTACCTTTACTTTAATATGCAGACTCTAGGGACTTCATTTGGGCTAGAGTTTGAGTTTGAGCTAAACAGTTATTTTGGTTGGACTTCACAAGCTTTAAGCTCGTAGAGCTAGAATTGAGCTTAAAAATTTGAATCGCGAGCTCCACTCGGGCTCCAAGTTTTAAGCCTATCGCGCTTTAAGCCCGAGTCGAGCTCAAAAAGGAAAGAATTAGGTTCTATCACTAAGGTAGTAAGTAATAAAAAATTCAGCTGTAAAATGTGTCAAAAGAATAGGAAAATTTTGACCTTATATAGTGGATTTTAGGAAAAGTAATCCCTGATTTCCCACTCTCTCCTCAAACTTCACATCTCGATTTGAATAAATTTATGGAATCAATCAAGGCCTTAATCCCATAAGTGGGGTAATAAATTTATGGAATAGTGGATTGAATTTAGAGTTGCACATTTGAAGATATTCATCTTTTTCCAAAATATTCATTACTTTTCACAGGACTTAGATAATCGAAGAGAGAAAGATATTAAAGAACTGACAACACTCAGACCAGTATTCCATCCCAAAATCCTTGATTTTTTCAATGTTCTTAATTGATGATTGAATAAGACTTGGACAAGCTAGCTGAAAAAACTCATGGGGGGTTCAGACAATTCAGAAAGAAAAAGAAATAACAAAAACAGCAGCACTAGCCACAAGGCCCACAACCACTAACAACTTTTTCTCATCATTCCCTAGAGAGCAAGATTGCATCTTTCTATCTTTCTAATTGCAACATGATCACCTTAGACCACAAAAGGTGCATGGCCTGTGTTGAACTGTCACCTTACATGTTACACCACAATGTCACCTTTTCATCAGTTCTTTCCAAAATCAAAAACATTGGCAAGTGATAACACATAAAGTATACTGAATGTGCCTACTCTAAGACATTGCACGTGAAAATATAAATATTGATGGTTATGGGTCAATTCCTAGTATTGTGACTTTCACTGTACACTGTTTTCTTTTTGCTTGGGAGAAAGTGAGGAACAGAAAAGAATATATCTTCATGCTGAGTACAAAAAGAAAAAAGGCTCTTAATTTCAACAATAACATCTTTCAAGGGAGAATGCAATATACTGGAATAACTATTTTAAAATATAGACAGACAGCAGCACAACATGAAGCAGAGGCATCATTAGATTCTCAACTTTCACTACAGTTCACAAATCTTCAAATTGTTAATCATACTTCCTATTACACCGCCCGTCTTGCCACAAGAACTTTTTTAAGATATCTGAACCAACAAAAAAAAGTCATAATACGGGTTGAGTTTGTAGTCAACACGACTCGTCAAGTACAATTCCGCATTTTAAATTAACTTTGGTAAAACTAAGGTCACACACTTACACGACATGTTTCCCACTGTTTGACTTCAAGCAAAGATGTCAATAACAAGTTCTAACACCCCTCCCTCCACCTCAATAAGAAATTAAAAATGTATTACAAAATACACCAAGAAAATGTCACCTATATACTACATAAAAGGATCATAGCTAAAAAGATATCATGCCCTCAAGCTATTGGGTAATTATTATGTAAAAATCACAAAAATTCAAGTTTCTGTGTAATTGTGAACATGACGAAATTTAAGTACTTAAAGCTCAGATATAGGACGTACATAGAATAGAGGCCTACCAACAGGGTTTGCAGCAATAAGCTGCTCTCCAACAGCCTTTATAGCATTAATAAGAGCTCCAGCCTGGTTTGTGTAGGGGATTCTCTGCTGGGATATAACTGAACGAAGCAATTCAGCAGTGTGCCTTGCTGTGGCTTGTGACCCCTCGATTTTGCTAAGAAACCCACAAAAAGTGGAGATTTCATATGTAAGCTCAAATGTTAATTTTTTTTCCAATAATGTTATCGAAAATCAAGAAGCTAAAATCAGTCACTTACCGTTTCTTGAGTTTGTTAACAAAGTCATTGACAAGAGTTTGTGTGTCGGGCATATTTAATTTATTTCTGGAAAGTTTAACCTGAAACCATGGAGCGCATAGAATTTAGTTCTCTAATTATTGAACTTGTATGAACTTCTGGTAACCAATATTACTTTAACAATTGCAATTTGCTACATCAAACAATTACCCCATACTTGATACATAAGTAGATATTACAACAACAAAAAATTGGGACATATAATTTCATGATCTAATATTGAGATGTAATTTCCTACTTCTGACTATATACTTGGAACATGATCATGATTATACCACATGACATAATAGAATTAAATAAATAAGAAGAATGAATAGACTTCCATGAAATTGAGATGAAATTGAGAGGGTGGTATAGGAAGCAGATACAAAGAGTGCCAATGAATCGATTATTTCTATTTTGGAGCAGACAGTGGATACTAGGACTGTCGTAAACTCATAATGACCAATTCTCTTTATACGCATTGCTTTCCCAGTATTTTAAATCTTGGCAAAAAAAATCAACTAATGCAATCACAAAAAAAAAACTTACTGTGAAGTTGTTTCTTACATATGTATCACCTAAAAATGTGCAAAAGAGATACATAATATGCATTTTACCCAAAAAAATTCGTCTAAGTTAGGGTTTTCTTTTGTCAAATGCCGAAATTCCTTAGACTTTGGTTCATCATTCATCACTTCCTAATCGAATAAATGATGACTTAGATGTTTTTTAAATTTCACAAGTTTATACTACTCAGGCAACAAGAATCACAAGAATAAACAGCTTGGTAATCACAATCATACAGAGACAGTGCAACCCAATCCGCCGCGACAAGAATATAGCTCCAATCAACAATTTCCTCAATTGAAATAACAATTCCACAAAAATTCTCACGATAATCAGTTTGCATGAACACAATACCATTCTCAAGCTATGAAAACAACGAAATCAACTAAATCATCAACATACTAGCCGAAAATTAACTACTTCATTCACATGATCATGTAAATTATGCAGAAATTAGAAATATTACTAGTAGTGTCGTATTCATGAAATCTATATTTGAAACATATGTAAAAATGAATTGAACAATTTGAACTCAAAAGAAGATTTATTAGAGAGAATTACCTTTAGAATGAGTGATTCTGAAATTAAATTCTCTGGAAAAGTTTGAACGCCCGTATAATTTGAAATTATTTCCTCTCAATCTTTTATTTATCTGGAACCGAATTAAGACTTTAGACCTATTCTCGTTAGCTTAATTTCAATTCAGTTCATAATTTCCTTCTCTCATAAACAATTCAGTTCAGCTCAGTTTAGTTTAGTTTTATTCAGTTTAGTAAATCTAAACAGCTTAGTTTCATTTTATTTTACTCCTTTTTTTAAAAAAAATGTATTTCATATTTCCATTCCATTGCATCTTGTGTGTGACTAACTACACCATGTGGCTGCTTGTAAACTAACAAAGTAACAACGACGTAACCCCTATAACACTGACTGAGTAACCTCTATAACAATGACCGAGTAACCTCTGTAACACTAATGAAATAACCCTCATGATGGTTGGCCACATAAGAATTTGTGTTTTCCTTTAAATTTTAATTTTCTCTTGTGTTAAAAAAAATTAATTTTCTCCTCTTATATTCCCACTCAAACCCATAATTAGTTTTTTATGTAGTATTACTTACTTTTAATACCGTGCTTGGACTAGGGTAATATTTTAAGGGGTAATAAATGTCAAACTTGAAAAAACACAAGTAATTAGAGGTGGTGTTATAAGAGACAAAGTATTTACAAATGAAATAAGGTAGTTGTACCATAAGGAAAAGAGCGAGAGATGGAACTCTCAAAATGAAAGTAATAGTTACCCACCCTAGTGTAAGTATTACCTATAAAATGCGAGTAATATTTCCTCTTTTTTCACCCTATACCACACCGTGACTAGGGGTGGCAATTCGGGTCAGCAGGTCGGGTTCGGGTCAGATTTCGGGTCGATTTCGGGTTATGCTTAGAAACTATTAAAAATAGTGTAAAACTTAATATTATTACGAAATATGAAATTTGGGTCAAATCGGGTCGAATTCGGGTTGTTCGGGTTCGGTTCAGGTCGGGTTCGGGTCTCTCTCAGTAACTTCGGGTCGGGTTCGGGTCGGGTCAGGGTTTGCCAGCCCTAACCATGACTATATAATTTTCCTTACCAACACACCATAACTATCTCCCCCTTCCCTATATTTAATTTTATTTTGCTTAGTTTGACTTTTATTACCCTAATAACATCTCCCTCAATCCAACCATACATATGCAACTCTTGAAAAATAACACTTATTGCATTCAAATTATTCAAGTTGCAACCCAAATAATTTGTATGTTGGACAAAATATAGTTATGTTAGATCTTCTCAAATTAGTCCTAATTTATTGTTTCACAATATCTAAGTTTTATATTTTTTTACTAATTAAACATCGAAGAAGGATTAAAATTAAGCATTGTCACATGTGAAAGTCGAATTGTTGCAAGTAAAAGTGAATGAGGAAGTATTTCTCTCCCTCTCACATTACTTACTTTTTAATTAAATACTAACTTCACATCTTTTCTTCTAATCTTATAATACCCCAATGACCATACTTAGCTCTTTTATATTCAAGTTAATTATTGTTTAAAAACTATGTGTCGGTCAAAGTATAACACCAAAAAAAACAGAGGGCGTACATTAATTTATCTTACTTGAGGCAAAAAGTTATAAAAAGTAAGTTAAGTAAGGTTCAAATTAACTAGCTAGTGTCATGTTTTATTTATCATATTCAAATAATGTTAAGTTAAAATAATTTAAGTTCAGTAAAATTAAAAATATTTCAGCTTGGTAAAAATAAGGAAATTTTGACTTTTGGTACCTTGAAAATGGTCTCTACTAACTTCTGGTACCCATTTAAAATTTTACTTTATTTTACTACCTATCAAATTTTAAAAATATAGCTTTTGGTACCTCCGTCCAACTTCTGTTATTGTTTCCATTAGTGGGTCCCACATAAGTAACCACCTACCATTTACCTCTTCTCTCTCCACGATTTTAACACAGTGAATGCTTCTTCCTCCCCCATCAATTCTCCAAATCTCCATATTAACTCCGTTGTTGATTTTAACCACAAATTTATTTCTCTCTCTCTCTGGTCAATTTCTCTATCTTTCTTTTTTACTCGTTTTTTCTGCAAATCATCTGAGCATGGAAGCTTTTGACAAGTTCAACACAGCAGAGTAAAATCCAAGCTAAGTCTTTGGAGTTGTCATCTCCATTATTGAAAGAGGAAGATTCTTCTAACAACGACTTGTGGGAAGGTACGAATTCTTTTACTAGTTGTAGTGGTTCCACAATCAAACTTTTTCTATTTGGAGGGACAAGACCTAATGAACAACATCATACCCTGTAATTGGATCAATAAACAACAAACATACTCAAATTTAGTTCAATTACCAACCTACAACCTCAATTTCATTGCTGTAAGCCCCATCAATAAAGCCTTAAATTCAATTAACAAAAAAAACCCTAAAAAAATTTTTGTTTCTAATCTACTACAAATTAAATCAATTGGAATTGGAATTGAGAGTTTAAATCATTGATATACAAGTTATAAATCACAGTCACACCTAAATTAAGCGTTAATCGTAATTTACTTTGATAATTCATTCGTAATTAGAATAATCCAAACCTTTTTTGCTATAAATTGATTTGCAATTCAAGCCCTCCTCTTCCAAATAGCGTCCTCAACGCTTTACGCACAAGATTGTACTCCAGAATTTTAGAACTCTCTTTTTGTGGATTGCTTTGAGGAATTTTTGCCTTTTGAAACATGGTTGAATCGAGGGAAAAACAAAGAAGACAAGTCTTTACAAGGAGGAAAATAGCAAAAGTAGCTGTTGAAATGGGACCCACTAACGGAAACAGTAACAGAAGTTGGACAAAGATACCAAAAGCTATATTTTATTAATTTGATAGGTAGTAAAATAAAATAAAATTTTAGATAGCTACCAAAACTCAGTAGAGGCCATTTTCGAGGTACCAAAAGTCAAAATTTTCTAAAAATAAGTTATGTTCAACAAAATTAAGTTAAGTGCAATAAAAATAAGTTTCAATAGGAAAATATCATTCACTTTAAAGAGAAAATATAATAAATAAACAGTGAAAATATGTTTTAATCAGTACAAATAATTTAATCTCAATAAAAATAATTATAGTTAAGTAAAAAATAATTTCGGCTAAGCAAAAATAAGGTGAATAAAATAAGACTTAAGCTTTAGAAAAATAGTTCAAACTAGGTGTTTAGGGTAAAATTACCCATGACAAATGGACCAATCCGGACCTGCCACGTGTCCACCACGTGGGCCAATCAGCGTCCGCCACTTGTCACCCTAAGAGGTCCAACATGGACTAATCAGGCCACGCCACGTGGCCTCCCATATGCCAAATAGGCAAAAATGGCCACCAAGGCCCAAAGTCCGAGAGAAGCCCAATTTGCCCTGGTTAACCTAAACCTAGGATTCGCACGCTTCTCAAGACTATAAATACTTAATTAATCCTCATTAAAGGGGATTCAGCAATTGATGACTCTCACCTAGAGAAGTCTAAACACATTGATCACTCCTCCCCTAGAGGAACCAGATCTCCCACCTTTATTTTCCGCATTTATTACTCCTCAAACAAGTACTAACTTGATCGTTGGAGGCGGAGCTCCCACCACAAGGAGTCTCCGTTGTTTTGCAGGTACAGGCGTCCGGTTCCAGTCTCGGAATTGTAACTCTCCCGCAGGACATCAGAAAACCCCGAAACATTTGGCGCCGTCTGTGGGGAGAGTACTTCTGAGATGGCATCCACGTCTGTACCGACTCCTGAAGAGAGGCGTCCCCTAGACGACCCTCAAGTTCAGTCGGACCATGATACTGAGGAAGAATTTAAAGTTGAAGCTCACACAGCTTCAGACGGGACCCTAAGGGCCCGGCGCACCCGTCCTACTGAAAGGAGGGAACGAGAGGCTGGTCCCAGTCGGCCAGCCGGCCCACCGCCTGAGACTCAGCAGGCGGCCGAAGGATCTGCTCCTATTACTAGGACAGAACTCATGACTCTCATGAGTACTTTCAAGGGAAAGATCCAAGAGCTTGTCAATAAAAAGGCGACTGCTCCACCAAAGGAACAGTCGGCCAGATCAAACAACTGATCCTCGGTCGGTTGTTCTACATGTCTAGGAAGCCTGCTGTTTTTCCTTCGATAAAGGCCCGACTGTGAGTGCAGTAGTGGCATGCCAACGTCGAGCCTTTGAGCTTTTAGGCGGCAACCATAAGAGCAGCCTTCATTCTCGCATAAACAGCCGGCTCTATATGATGTTTTATCAAGGTACAGTCGCAAGGTTTTTGGCTCAAAATATAATGCCAAGTATACTTGATACAAATGAGTTTGGTTCCAGCTTGTTCTTCCAAAAGCAAACAGCCAAAATACTCGCACATATAAAAATCTTTCGGCCTGCCGAGAGGAGTAGCGCTTGGCTCGTAGTAATATAATTGGCCATGAGAGTGAATGCTTTAACTTGTTCATGTGCTAGTCTCTTATTGTGAAAGCTGGGCATTGGCGTCTCGCCCAAGGAAGCAGGCGGCCAGATGATAGCCGGCCTAGTCCTAGCCACGAAGCATGACAAATCAGCTAGCCATGCTAATGTAGGCGACACCTAAACATCAGCCAGATGACAGCCAGCCCAATCCGAGCCACCAAACAGCCGGATTGATCACTTCAAGAACAAGCAACTCAAAAGGCCGAGACGAATGAGTTCGTGTGTATGTAAAAAATAGGCAGCTAGGCAGCTGTATTTATGTATGGGAAGCATTGAAACCGGCCGTTTAGCCATCAAGTAAATCCAACAAACCACTTGTCTTTTATGAAAGCAGGCGGCATCTACAGCGAACGCATCAAGCAATGCGTGAGGTGATATGGGTCTTCATGTTTTGTAATGAGGGCCGAGTCTTGAATCACTTTGGTCTAAATAATGCCCAACACGATCAAAACATAATTAAAACAAGCGGCAAGCTGATCATGCGGCATCATGTGGCCGAATAAAATTTTGAAAGTTAGCTCCATTGAGAAGAGCAGCTCGGCATCCTTACCAAAGCACCATGTAAGCTCAAAATGAGTGCCTTTTGAAATTTCATAGTATCATGGGTAAACATCAAGAATCAAACGACACATTGCTATTGTTTGTAAAGAAACAGCCACCATGTGTATGCACGCAACAACAAGTCCCTTGTATGTCTATAGACAGCCGGCCTAGTCCTAGCAACACAGCAAGTAGATGCTAAGCTATCCATTCGTCCAACCAAGTGTGTATCCATATGTTTGAAGAGCCGCATGAAGTGATCATCCAAGCCAAATTTATGAGCCCAAGAGTATATAACTCAACTTGCTAAGTTAGGGAATCCTCATTGCTCTTATTTCAGCCGGCATTCAGTGCTCAGACGCTCAATAAAATCAAATAGTCGGCCACCCTTGTTAATGAAAACAGGCGGCCACAAGTGCTCTTCAAGACTCAAGCCCAGTCCCAGCTAGACTCACCTTAAACAACCGACACTTGGTTGAAAGGGCATGAGCAAAAGTGGGTCTTCATACTTTTTAAATAGGGGCCGAGTCTTATGATCATTTTTGTCTAAATAATGCCAAGCACGTAAATAGCATGCAACCGGCATCATGCGCTAGTCACCTAGCTTCAGCCGGCATATCCACTTCGATGGCACCTTCATTGGTCCTCATAAATAGGCTAGCAGGCGGCAGCTCAAACTCCAACCGGCACATCACGACAAAACCAGCCGGCCTTTGAAATCATTGACAAAGTACAAGGTGGAGCATGGGCACCTATGATTAAAGCATCCGGCAGTAGCACAAGCAAGGGGCGAAAGCCGTATGTTTGATAGACTCCTTGCTGAGTGGAAAACTGAAGATGAATTAGAAACACAAGCGGCATAATAAGCCACCTGTGAATATGCAAGCTATATACAAGTGGCTCGGCAATCGACATCATACAACAGGCGGCATGCCAAATGATTATTGAAAACACCCCCTCGTATCTTGGTGCTATGAGAGAGCCAACTCTCTTTGAACAACCAACAGGAGACCGGCACCATGCTTGGCCGGATGTGAAGCTTGAGCAGGCGGCATGTAAAAGTCGTAGCTCAAGCAGCCGACCTCAAAACCCAAAGAGTAGTCGATTGCTTGTTCATTGCAAGCATGTGTGGGGCTTGACGCCTTGCATATCGTATAAAACCTGCCGCATGATTGTTCAGGAAGTCTCATCTTATGTGTGAGTTGTCACCATAAGCACATTATCATTATTATGATTGCAAGTAAAAAAAAAAAAATTGCCTAAGGTTAGTAAAACCGGCTGTTTAGGCGGCACCCTATTGAAGACCGTCTCCCTTCTGTTTAGGCGGCACCCTATTGAAGACCGTCTCCCTTCTGTTTAGGCGACACCTTACTGAAGACCGTCCACTTATTTGTGTGACAATCTATCAAGCAAGAGAGGCGGCATGAATAGTAGTCGGCCCCCTATACGACGAAGTCTCGAAGCTATGAAAGCAGTCGACCCTCATTAATTTCACTAAGGGGCTAAAGACCGGCAGAAAATGTGTGGGCCGAACAGCAAGGTCGCAAACCACATTAAAACAACTGTTCCTATTCGAAGAAAGTAGTCACCAATCCTCCATGGAAGGGAGCTAAGTGATCTATCTACTCTAACACTTGAAATTATTTCAATACTTGATACTAATTCAGAGGGGATGCCGCCTGTACCTTTACAGTCGGCCACTCTCCATTGAGTATTTTACTCTATCTTCAGAGGGGCATGCCGCCTGTACCTTTACAGTCGGCTACTCTCCATTGAATATTTTACTCTCACCATAGGGGCATGCCGTCTGGACATATAGTCGGCTACTCTCCATAGAAGAGGGCCGACTGGTTCCAAAGCACACAGCCACCCCCCTTATACTTAGCTAAAAAAGATTAGGGCCTGGCCGACCCTGTGCCTAAACAGGCGGCTACCCTCCTCTTACTTAGCACCTACGTTCACCAAGAACTAACCAAGGCCACAAGCCGAATGATCAGTCCAGGCGCCAAGCCAACTGATCCAATCTTTAAACTAATACGACCTGTCCCAACATCATAGCAGGCGTCCGGCGGCATCCCTCCGGATGAAATTCGTCGCAGAGAGCAGCTCCCTTTTGGGTGGAACATTGCTCTATAAACTATTACACGACACCTATACGACTGTCCCCAAGGGCAACCACGTAGCCGTTTTGAGACAAGGATAACTCTATCACTAACCAAACCAGTGGTAGCAGTTGACATCTGAGTCAGATGACCGCCTGTATTACTTTGGATAAATGCAGGGGGTACCTCTTGAGTTAATAGCCAACAAACATTGGCGAATCAAGGGGTCTAGCCGGCTTTCGCCGCCTGGTACCTCTACTTCTCAAGCAAGAGTGACGGCGATTGGGTAACACCAACGTTAACTCATAGTCACTCCCTCAAACTTGGTATGGAACCTAAAAGGTTTGAGTAGACCGCCTGTTTTTTGGCAAACAGGGGCACTCAAACCCCTATTCCTACTAGGTAACCACTCCTTGGGTTAATAGCCAACAAACATTGGCGAATCAAGGGGATCAGCCGGCCTCCGCCGCCTGGTACCTCTACTACTCAAGCTAGAGTATGACGGAGACTAAGTAACTCCTATGTTAACTTATAGTCACTCCCTCAAACTTAGTATGGAGCCTAAAAAGTATGAGTCGCCCGCCTGTTTTTAGCAAACAGGGGCTCTCAACCAC